TTGTGTGTGCATCAATCAGCTTCTTCTTGTTGACATCAACTGGCAGATTGAAAGCACTTAAGAAGTCGGCCCCTAATACAGGATGAAGTACATCGGCGACGATGAAAATCCGGGTGAATCTGTGGCGCAGACCAAGATTTAATATCAGTGACTGCCCACCGAACGTTGATATGCAAGTTTTGTTCGCAGCTTGGAGAGACAACTTGCTAGGGGTTGTTGATGGTTGCCGTGAAAGTGAGAGCGAAGTAACGCCAACTTCGGCGCCTGTGTCAACTAAAAACTGGGAGCCTGAAGTTTTATCCATCATGTGGAAGAGGCGACTGGAATGGTTGCCGGTAACAGCTGTTGCCCTCACTGTCTGGCTGACCAGTTTTCCTGGTCTGACGATGATCTTTTATCAAAAAAGCAGGGTCCAGTACACCGGTCGGCTTTATGGCCAAACTTTCTATGGTACCAGCAGATCTCTTGTGCGGCTTTGGGTGAGCGAGATCGATGCCCGTCGGTTGATCGTTTACGAGGTATGGGCCGTGGACGACGAACTTCAATATTCGACACCTCAGCTGCCAACGCCTCAAACTTGGACGTTAAGCCGGCTAACTGTGACTGAATATTAGAGGAGTGGGTAGGGATTGATGACAGGTTAAACTGGGGCCACTGGTTGTGGTTGTCATCAAAATGACTATTAGAAAGATTATCTGGGTAGACTTCCACTATTTTGTCAGCCACGTTAGCTAAGCTATCTAGTTTGGTAGTTGTTGCCGAGATACTGAGTATCTGCCGCACATTGAATGGAAGCCGCTGAAGCCATAGCTGCTTGAGAACAGCCTCGTCGAACCGATATGCACCGGCGAGCTGTTTTATGTACCGAAGCAGTCGTGAAAGCTTTCTATCCACCAGTTCACATGAAGTAAGTAAGTGCTGCAGCCGCTTCTCGTCGGACATAGATGTCCGCTGGATAACTGCTGACTTCAGTTTGTCATAAGGTGCCTCTTCAGGAACATTATCGATCAAGTCTACGACTTCGGTGGCGACTTCAATGGGTAAGGCTCCTACCATATAAGCATATTTAGATGCTTGGGAACGTATACTGAGTGCCATGAAAAGAGCCTCAATTTGAGCAAACCATATACAGGGGTTGCTAAAACCATACGGGGGAAGTCGTGTGTCCGATATGGCGTGTAATGAGCTTGTCTGCGCATCACCGCTACTCTGCCCGTTTATCAAGCTCGAGGAGGTAACTCGTGGGGAGCCCATTGGTGGCCGAAGAATATACAAAAATACCAAAGATAAACAAAATCAAACTCTAAATATAGCTATGAGGCAAAGGAAGTTCGCTAAATCGAACACACCAATAATATGTAGTGGGCCCAAAGAACGTCAAGTAAACCAACATGACAAACTACGTATAATTTACAGGAAAAATGGATCTTATGATTCACGCCTGTGAAAAGTTATACGTTATAGCACAAAATAGTATTATCAATGTTATAGATATTCACGGGTTACTTGAAGGTTGTTTCTTCGGTATCGTCCACCACTATTTTAGGATACTCCAGAGATCAGGAGGCGATATTTGTCGTCTCTCCGCTGTGGTCGTCGGCCGGCTTGAATGTCGTAATATTTGGAAGTGGGATGAGAAGTCCTGTAAATTCCCAAGACAATCAGTTGTTGTGCAGGACAGGCAATAGTCACGGAGGCAGAAGTCGGAATGGTTAGAAGCACATTATATTTCCACGATTAGCAGCAGCAGAAGATGCGATTCCCGCCACAACCAAAAACGTGTATATTTAACAAAATTCGTTTATGCAAGTGTCAGGAATAATGTACAGAATGTGTAAGAGAAACGATGAAGGGGAAATATTGCTCATAGTTGAAGTGGTTTATAAACAATTGTATGCAGTCTCCATGCAGCCCCCCTTACAAATGCAGAGGAACTCTCCGGTAGAAAGTGAAGAAGAAAATATGCACTCATGGCCAAACCGAAAAATATGTAGGTAGATAAAAAATTTATATGCTTGAGGCTGTTGTTCACAAGTCCATCGGTGAGGAAACAAGTTTAATACCAATATTTATCAGTAACGCTTATAATTATTCGAAAATATACTTATTTCCTGAATGATTTATGAACACCAGTAAAATGTGATATCTATTGGTGTGATAAAAGAGGTGAGAAATGCGAGAAATATGGGTTGTATATATAAAAAAATAATGGTGGTGATCGGCATGTGTATCTACGAATAAATTTGGCGCAAGATGATAAGATATTCCGAACTGGAAATAGGGGAAGTATCAGTCAATCAGATGTACATAACGTTTGGGTTTGTCTACTTGCCAGCGCTGCGTGTGCTGCACGGAGGAATCAGAGAAGTCTGCTCACCGGCGCTATCGGTGGCGATAAAGAAACAGATGCATGGAAGCTGATAGAGCAGGGAGAGGAAGACGAACTACTGCAGTGCAAGGATGAACAACGGAAAGAGGAACTGAACACAACCCATAAAACCTATAACACTGGACAGAGAAGTGAAGGAGAGTGCGCGCAAAGACAAAATACACTTCTACGACACATTGGCAAGTGAAGCAGAACAGGCTGCAGGCAGGAGAGACCTGACGACATTGTATCAAATAACCAAGTTACCAGGTCTATCTCGGAGGGGAGAGATCAACGCAGATGAAACCAATGAAAGATAGTGAAGGAAAGCTAGTTACCAAAGAGGAGAAACAAAGAAAACAATGGGCTGACCACTTCAAAAACCTCTTCAATTGACCACCACCACCACCAAGACCTGTAGCTACTTGCAAGAACTGGAGAGGAATCATGCTGCTGCCAACCCCAAGCAAAATACTAAGCCGCATCATCATGGAGAGACTAAAAAATGCGCTGGATTCAAAATTACGACCGGAACAGGCCGGCTGACTGGCTTCAGGAAGAACAAAAAATACGTGGATCAAATTGCAACGCTACGCCACGCCACGCATCATCATAAAACACAGCGTAGAATGGCAGTCGACTGGATTCTTACCTCAACCTCATCGATTTCCAGAAAAACCTTCGGTCGAGGCGTCGACTGAGAAGTAATTTGGCAGGCAGCTGCTTCAACAATGCGGTTTCAGTGCCACAAACCTTTATCAACCTCACTCAACATCTATATGATGAAGCCATATGCCAAGTGATCCACAATGGAAGGCTCATTGACGCCTTTGAAGTGAAGACAGGGGTAAGACACTGTTGCCGCCTACTACCACCCATGACCTTCCTGATTGTGGTCAACTGGACTGGATCATGCAGCAAACCGTGAGGAGCGAGAAGATGAGCATACGCTGTTTGACCGATGAGACGGTCCGAGAAGATTTGGATTTCACATCTTGTCGCAAAAACTCGAAGATCTACAGGCAAAAACCCAACAAGTTGACAGAGAGGCAGCGAATACGGGACTTCCTTCAGGTGAACGTGGAAAAGACAGAGGTGATGAAGATACCCAACCACCACCACCACCAACAACAACAACAAGCACCATCAATGGGGGAAATCTAAAGGAAGTAGTCCATTCACCTACCTATCTAGGCAGCATCGTTACAACTACAGACGGCGGTACATATTAGGATATCAAAGTCAGGATCGGAAAAGCAAGACAGGCCCTCATTAATCTGAAATCAGTGTGGAGATCTACTGCACTGGACTGCACTGCACTCAACACAAAGCGTGAACAAGATCCGGATTTCCAACACTAATGTCAGTCAAGTAAGCACTTCCATGTGGTGGTTCAGAGACTTGGCGGCGCGTTACGAAAAGCATTTCCAATAAACTACAGACATTCATCAACCAACAGCTGCCTCCCACACTCGCTCGATACTGAAGATCAGATGGCCAGAATAATAAGAATAAGCAACAAGGAACTCTAGCCAGCTGACAACGAACCAACCAAGAAGCTGTCACCCGATGAATATGCAGGAGAAAGTGGAGATGGATTGAGTATGCACTGAGAAGATCTCTCGGGGACATTAGACACCACGCCAGGGCCTCGAGTGGAACCCAAATGGGGAACGACGAGTTGGGCTTCCGAGGTGAGGGTGACATGGAGGAGATCATGTGAGAAAGAAATGAATGCTTCTGGGCCGTCGTGGCGCCAGGTTGGAAAGACTGCAGAGAGCAGAGTGGGGTGGGGATGTACAACTGAAGCCGTATGTCCCACTGGGAACCCAATGGAAAAGTAATATATATTAATAGAAACTCTACCGTGTGAAGACAATTTTCAAAATGTGATGTTTTCAATTTTACCTTATATCATTCGGAATATCATTTGTAATCGGTACTGTATTTCAATGCAGTAATCAGTTCAAGGTCACCAATGTTAAACACTCATGGACAATAGGTTTTATGAGGTCTGCCTCACTGGAGTCGCTTTCACTCTCGGAAACTAGGTCAGTGCTTGGTGGACTTCGATTGATGTAGTTGTTTTTTCCATGGGTTTGTAGCTCTCCGATCATGCTCTCAAATGGGACGGTCTCCATTTTTACCTGTAGATCGAATATCAACCCAGTCAACATTTTTGAGGGGAAAACGTGGGGCAGAACATGGGGGTTAGGAATTCGGGAGAAGGTTGCACAATACCGTGTTTTGCTCCTTAGTTATGCCTCATGTTTTTAATGCAATCTGCAGCATGCACCCTGTTTTGCCCCGAGAAAATGTTGACTGAGTAACCACTCTAGTGGGATACCCTAAATATCCCAGCCAGGCGCACTTTTAGAGTTTTGGTCGCAAGCCCGCAAAAAGTTTTGGATGCACCGCAGACAATACATCGTCGTTCCCAAAGTTCCTCCCAAAAATATCAGATGTTTTGCTTAAATATTGCTAAAATATCAAAGTCCACTCGAAATGAAGTGTACCCATATTTGTCGAATTGCACCCAAAGTTTTCAACATATTGCACATAAACCCAAGAGCAGTGCATAAGACGAGCATCTACAGACGCGGACGCTTAATCGTAGAATATTAAATACGCAAAGTTTAATTCCTTTCTGAAGCCTGGGATTCCGTGAAATGTAATTAATTTCGGAGATGCGCGCGAAAATTACAAAGTGCACTCGAATTTGATTTCGAAAATTACCCGAAAGTGTCAAACTGCACCCAGTCTTTGTCGGTTGGGATTGTACCTACACAAAACGGTAATTTATGTGTTAGACGTGCATTTGTGTACCTGTTGTTCTTCGGTGGTCATCACCTTTCTTAGACGAAATGTACGAATATCTGGTTCCATTTTGAAACTGCACAGTGGTTGCAGCAATCAAATGCTTCAGTTACAAGAGACGAAAATTGGAACACCTTCCTACACTTATTGTCCTGAGGTGAGAGGTTAGCAAGTATTGATTGTCCGTTGTCATTACTAGCACTTCCATGTCGAGTAAACGGTCTAAAGTGTGCTAGAAAATGGCAGAAAGTTGACGTCACATGTTCTTTTGTAGTTGGTAACAATTTAATCAAATTATCCTCTTCTCGTGTCAACTTTCACTCATCAGTTAATGAACTTCCCGCCTTTCTGTCTTGGGTTCGTAAACAGGTGTAGATTGCTCGGTTGGGGGCTTCGATATCAGTAGTTGGAGACTGTGATATCGCTCAAAATCAGTCAAGGTGCTACGTAACCGTACACTCATTTTTGAAGTTCATGTGTTCAGTAGCCTTCATCTAATTACTACTTTTCTCTTTCTGTTAGCATGTAGCTCATTTCCCGCTTACTTTTTCTTTGCAAGTTCCTAGTGTATAGCTGCTACCCTGACGTAGCGGTCAGACTTTCATATCACAATGACCCAATGAGCAGCACTATATGGAGTGCTTGTTCCCTCGAAATCTTATCACGCCGACGGTGTGTTGGGTGATGGTAAGATGAAAAGATGTCAGTCGTAGTGTAAATTGCTGGGGGTTCGAAGGAGAAATCGTACTGCTGGTTGGGTGGTGACAGTAGTGAGGTGTTTTCTTCAAGTGACCGGCAGTACCACGCGACGTCCCCTTCCTGGCGGGAAGCGGCGGGGGTTAGATAAGGTCGACTCACAAAATAGCATACTCGTGCCTCCCCGACGGTCTTTCAGTGCCGATGGTAAGGGTTTCTTCTATCCAGCTTTAGAATATTCGTCTCATGCCAACAATACTGAAAAAGCTGTGATGGACCTCAAGCAAATGTCGCATGACCTCGTGGTCTTACAAATCTTTTTCTCTTCAGATACCGTGAGAAGAAATAGCCCTCCACGGTGTGAGTAGCCAGGAAGTGTTGACTGTCTACACGCCTCCAGTAGTACACAAGATTCAATCAAACAACCTGTCCTCAGCTCTGTCTCCTCCTTTACCTTCACCTCCTGATACTAATATTAAGCCTCCCACAACACCTTCAACCTGTCACTACGACCATTCCCAACGAATGAAGGCATCGAAACTTCATTTCCAGTCTCCTAAGACCCTGCCATGGACTTCATATTCAGGCTTTCAACTCTCGAACTCTATGCCAATTCGGACAGCAGGCATCGCTCACCAGAACTCTGTAATCTGAAGTTGTGGATGTATGTTGTGTCTCCGAAACACGCATACCGGACCCGAGTGTGATTATTCTCTTGACCTCATTTGGCCGTTGTAGTGAATCTTCATAGTTCACCTTACAAGTATCTGGAGCGCATTGGCTAGCTCTGGTGGACTCGCTGGTGTAAGCACGGCATTCAGTTGTAGAGTAGCAAGTGCGCTTCTTGACTGGATACCAGTCGTCAGCAGCCGTCTGTTTGGTGTTTGACTGAATGATCTGTAAGAACTAGGAAGGATCGTGAAGCTAGGTGATGTCTATTCGTAATCTCTGCCTACCCACCCACCAGCTGCAGTTCGGATGATGTGAAGGATGAATTTCATGAGTTCTCAGTTTTACTGCAGAGAGCAAAACGTCCAGATATAGTCGTAATGACAGTTGACTTCAACTCCCAAGCATGGAAGCCGAGCCAGTTGGAAAGGTATCTTGTAAGTGTCTGCAGAGTCCTATAATGGCGAACCGACAATGGTGACCATCTGTTGCAATTTTGTTTTGACAGTTACTTATTTCTGGCTAGCACTAACTGTAAGAATAGAAAGGGCACTGTCGCATGGTATTTTTCTCCTTAGAGCTGTGGCTCAGTGGTTTGGGGAGATAACTACCAACAACTGGGCCATGGGATTCGAGCGCCACTCCACCTAGCCAGGTTTGAGCAGCCAGATAGCATCACTAGCCCTCACACGATAGGTGTGGTTCATTGCCTACTGCGTGGACGTGCACTAGGTAGCTGTATGTTTCGTGTTTCTCACATGGCCGACATGAAACTAACGATTGAGGCAGTTAGATCATATTGCTGTAAGCATCATAGGTGAAGATCAGTGGAGGATTGCCACTGTTCCTGGAGTACCTATTTAAACTCCGATCACGGAAAAAATGGAAATCCACTCAGCTACCTTGTGCAGTTTCGTACGGTAAGCAGTGAGCCACCCCCCTGGTGTGAGGGCTAGTAATACTACCTAGCTGCCCGAAACCCGGTAGGTGGAGCGATGTTCGAACACGTGACCCACTGGATGGAAATCGACTGCTCAAACTATTGAGGCACTACTCGCGTTGGTACGGGCATGTGTATGTCTGCGCCTTACTGGTCTTAGGAAACAGATAACGGTAAAACCCGTTTGTGCTTGGTTGAAAGTTGAGAACTTTTAGTATATATTTTGGCAGGAGATTAGTAAGCGTTTATCTAAACGTGACAACAGTGTTGATCCCGAGAAAACCCTTTGTGGGATTTTAAGTCTGTTGTAGAAACAGCGGTAACAGTTGCTAACCTACACCCTGAAGGTTAGCAGACGTCATTTAATTTCCTCGAAGTCCTCCGAAATGGCTTGTATGAAAAGACTCATTCAATGAGATTCTGACCACAATGAAGAGCGAAAGCAACTCAAATGTGAGTTAATTGAGTTTTCCAGTTGGTCGTGATCAGTGGTGGGTGGGGAGTAAAATTCATCCAAATATGCAGAGCTTTACCATCTTCATAAGTTAATTCATCTAGTCTGTTTGTTACACTTTTGGTTGAGTATTGCATTAACTCTATTCTTAGTGACTTGGTTAGGTACTTACATGTCACTGAGCATTCATTGACCTCTTTACATTGTCAATAAAATTCTATCCATAAATTACCACTGACACCATTTTCGGGTTTGTTGTTTGCATTAGTTAACCATCTGATAGTTTTCGACTACATGTTGTTCCACAACTGGTCATATGATTAATTGTTCTGTCAGCTGTGAAGATCGACAGTCGTCTGTCGTTTGACTCCTCACTTTACTTCAGATTATTCAGGAGGGATCAGTGTTCAACCTGTCGTTGCTGTCACAGGAGTGAAAAAATGAATTCCTGAAAGGAAACTGATTTGGCGCATGAATGTGTGCCTAATTGATCGGTTTTCTTGATTTAATTTGGATCCTATTTTTAATGTTTTGCACTGAAGTTAGCAATAATTTAAATTAGTGGATTTTTTATGACTTGGTGAATAACAGGTCTGACTTTATTTAAATATTCTTAGGTGACAGATATGACACGTTCATCACTTAGCGTCAGACTGGAAAAAATTGTCACGTTGGACGCGAAAACAAAAGAGTTGATTGCTGAAATTGAAACTATCGGCAAAGGAACCAGTAATACAAAATCTTGCCGGGAGAAATTAGATCACTGTCAAACTCAAGTTAGAGAAAATCTTGTTGCTATAAACTCAATTTTGGATGAGTTGCAAGCTATTGAGCATGAAGTAAACATATCGACAAACAGGACTCTCAGTGAAGCAGTTATTGAAAATAAGAAACAACTCTTCATGTTGCAGGTAGTACTCTTTTCCTGCAAATTTTCCTGTAACTTTCTTATCCATACTAATAGCAAGAGGAGAAATCCTGTATTATTTTCTATCATCATTACATGTCAGTAGATTTCGGGAACACCAACCCCGAGAAAACTAGGTGTGTCGATCTGATACTTACCTTTCTCCAGGTCCTGGAACACAAACATACCGATGCGCTACACTAATATTTCTCAAACCGAAGGTCGAATTCAACTCCCTCGATCGAGATGTCTTGTGGTAGTGTCTTTCTCTGAAAGGAATGCCGAGTAAATACATCACTGTTGAAGGTTTTGTACTGCAACACCCGTCTGCGTGTTATCCTATGTGAGTTGTGTACGCTCTTATTCAACTTTGCCACAGACGTTGTCTGACTTCACACGAATTGATTTTGTCACAGGAGAATTCTTATTAGGTCTGAAGTACGCGTATGACGTTATCGTGTTGGGTGAAAACGCTGATGAGATTCAGTCTTCTGGACACATTGAATAGCAATTTTAGAATGTTTGGGATGTGCTCACCACCCAAATGCTCCACGACTGGTCTTCAGTATTTATTATCATTAAGAACACAAATATGCTGCGGCAATGGCACCAAGAAATTCGCCGCACAAAATAGTATAACAACATTGCGAAGACAAACGATGGAAAGTGGATAAATAATCAAGAAAAACAAGAATAGCATGATTAGAAGGCCAGTCCAGTAAGATACATTCAAAACAAAACATTACTTTTCAGAAGGAGAAGATAGAAGGAAGCTACAGCATGACCGCCACTGGTTTCGTTTCTTAGCCAAATCTGATAACATCTCAATCCACTGAATTGCGGTATCTCTCGGACCTCATCCAGGGAGTCGTGATGCGGCAGCAGATGCTCACCCAACGCCATGTCATACACTGACCACCTTTCTGCTTCTTCCATCCAGTCCCAAGGCTAGCAAACAATGGACGGCGTAGAAGCCGTTGTGACGGCATGCGTAACACATGTCCAAACCACCAAAACCAGTGTTTCCGGATGACTCCACTCATTGAATGACGATCTTCATTATACCCAAACACACTATCGTGCGTCAGAATTACTTACATGATGGTGTTGCCACTGGATGTAAGCAATCTTAGGGAAAAAACGGTGATCGAACACGCAGAGTCATCACACATCCTCAGCTCAGAGAGGCCAGTTTTCATCGAAACGTTGTAAACCAGACCATTTACGGTCAGATTAATGTCGCGACGGCGCCATAGGTGGTTCAGATCGGCGTATGTCACTCTGGCTTTCGATATGCAGTTATAAATCTCACCACACAACATCAGCACTCAAACAACTACCCGAATGCACAAACTCTTTGACTACTTCTGACGGCTCACCATCAAGGGTTAGAGATGGCACAGGCTCCTGCCAATCTCGCAAAAGTGCCAATCGCCAACTAAGTTTTCTCAGACTAAACCTGTCTCATTCAACATTACGATTCAAGGTAGATGATGGGTACGCGGGCGCACCGTGTCCTATAGAGTCAATGGAGGTTTATGACCTCACCAACTGACCTACCCTATTTGCCCAAGACTGTCTTACCTCTGCATTACTAAAGTGATGGTTCCGCAAAATAACCAATACAAAGAAGGCAACGGTGATGGAGTACCGAAAGCTTTTCCATGTCCTCAACCCTAATTGTTTATGCTTTACAACCACTGAGTAGAACAAAGTGAACTGAAACCTACCTGGGTCTATAGGATTAGCTGTTTCTGGGCTTTATCTAGGTGTATATTAGTTACAGAACCTAGAATATTGAACACTTCGTTATTCAAGCTGTTTCCTTGAAGCTATTATTATTATTATTTTGTCCCATGGGTTCCCAGTGGGACATACGGCTTCAGTTGTACATCCCCACCCCACTCTGCTCTCTGCAGTCTTTCCAACCTGGCGCCACGACTGCCCAGAAGCATTCATTTCTTTCTCACATGATCTCCTCCATGTCACCCTCACCTCGGAAGCCCAACTCGTCGTTCCCCATTTGGGTTCCACTCGAGGCCCTGGCGTGGTGTCTAATGTCCCCGAGAGATCTTCTCAGTGCATACTCAATCCATCTCCACTTTCTCCTGCATATTCATCGGGTGACAGCTTCTTGGTTGGTTCGTTGTCAGCTGGCTAGAGTTCCTTGTTGCTTATTCTTATTATTCTGGCCATCTGATCTTCAGTATCGAGCGAGTGTGGGAGGCAGCTGTTGGTTGATGAATGTCTGTAGTTTATTGGAAATGCTTTTCGTAACGCGCCGCCAAGTCTCTGAACCACCACATGGAAGTGCTTACTTGACTGACATTAGTGTTGGAAATCCGGATCTTGTTCACGCTTTGTGTTGAGTGCAGTGCAGTCCAGTGCAGTAGATCTCCACACTGATTTCAGATTAATGAGGGCCTGTCTTGCTTTTCCGATCCTGACTTTGATATCCTAATATGTACCGCCGTCTGTAGTTGTAACGATGCTGCCTAGATAGGTAGGTGAATGGGACTACTTCCTTTAGATTTCCCCCATTGATGGTGCTTGTTGTTGTTGTTGGTGGTGGTGGTGGTTGGGTATCTTCATCACCTCTGTCTTTTCCACGTTCACCTGAAGGAAGTCCCGTATTCGCTGCCTCTTCTGTCAACTTGTTGGGTTTTGCCTGTAGATCTTCGAGTTTTTGCGACAAGATGTGAAATCCAAATCTTCTCGGACCGTCTCATCGGTCAAACAGCGTATGCTCATCTTCTCGCTCCTCACGGTTTGCTGCATGATCCAGTCCAGTTGACCACAATCAGGAAGGTCATGGGTGGTAGTAGGCGGCAACAGTGTCTTACCCCTGTCTTCACTTCAAAGGCGTCAATGAGCCTTCCATTGTGGATCACTTGGCATATGGCTTCATCATATAGATGTTGAGTGAGGTTGATAAAGGTTTGTGGCACTGAAACCGCATTGTTGAAGCAGCTGCCTGCCAAATTACTTCTCAGTCGACGCCTCGACCGAAGGTTTTTCTGGAAATCGATGAGGTTGAGGTAAGAATCCAGTCGACTGCCATTCTACGCTGTGTTTTATGATGATGCGTGGCGTGGCGTAGCGTTGCAATTTGATCCACGTATTTTTTGTTCTTCCTGAAGCCAGTCAGCCGGCCTGTTCCGGTCGTAATTTTGAATCCAGCGCATTTTTTAGTCTCTCCATGATGATGCGGCTTAGTATTTTGCTTGGGGTTGGCAGCAGCATGATTCCTCTCCAGTTCTTGCAAGTAGCTACAGGTCTTGGTGGTGGTGGTGGTCAATTGAAGAGGTTTTTGAAGTGGTCAGCCCATTGTTTTCTTTGTTTCTCCTCTTTGGTAACTAGCTTTCCTTCACTATCTTTCATTGGTTTCATCTGCGTTGATCTCTCCCCTCCGAGATAGACCTGGTAACTTGGTTATTTGATACAATGTCGTCAGGTCTCTCCTGCCTGCAGCCTGTTCTGCTTCACTTGCCAATGTGTCGTAGAAGTGTATTTTGTCTTTGCGCGCACTCTCCTTCACTTCTCTGTCCAGTGTTATAGGTTTTATGGGTTGTGTTCAGTTCCTCTTTCCGTTGTTCATCCTTGCACTGCAGTAGTTCATCTTCCACTTCACCATCTTCCTCTCCCTGCTCTATCAGCTTCCATGTATCTGTGGAGATCCATTCCATTTCATTCCATTCCTTGTGGTGTTTCTTCTTCCTGCCTAACATGGTTATGCAGGTTTTCTTCCATGTCTCTTTCAGAGCCTTCCAGTGTTCTTCCACCCAGGATTCCTCGGAGATATTGCTTAATGTTTCCCATTTTGTCCTGATAACTGACTTGAAGATAGATGTCCTTTGTAGTTTCGTCCTTCCGTTCAGTTTCTGTTCTGGGTGTTCAGGTTAAACTGTGTGTGGCCTATGACCACCCACTTCTTTGAAGGCTTTCAACTTGATTTTGAAGTTAGGTTCCTTGCACAAGATAGTGATCGGTGTGAACCTACATCTGCTCCCCTTCTTCATCTGATCTTGTGTCTAGTAGGTTGGGTGTGCCTCCACTTTCTTGAGATTGAGATGAAGTCGATCTGATTTTTAGTGTGTCTGGTGTCTGGTGAAATTCATGTGGCTTTGTCAATATCCTTGTGTTTGTGCACAATGCCTCCAATCACCAAATCGTTGAATGCGCAGAAGTCAGCAAACAGTTCTCCGTTCTCATTCATTTCACCAAGTGCTTCTTGACCCATGATTGGTTCTCTTCCTGTGTTGTCCGTTCCGAGTTTGGCCTTCATGTCGCCCATTGGAATTTTGATGTCATTGACTGAAGTCTTGTCCAGTGTTGATTGCAGTTGTCTGTAGAATTCCTCCTTCTTCTCCTGATCTGCATTATTTGTAGGTGCATAGCGCAGCATTGAGTGATTGTGACCTTCCTTCCTTCCTTTTGAGTTGAACCTTGATGTCATGATCGTGGTAATGGAGGAGATTGGTTCCCACTGCACGAGAGCCTTCGATGCTTTTGGGGGGTGGGGAACATGATGATGGCCACTCGAAAACTCAGTGTGCTCGTGGTTTTCGTGTGGGTGACAATATCGGAGTAGATTATTGACTCCTCTCCAGATGACCGTTTGGAGAGTTCACTTACATTCCATCTACTTTCACAGATTCCAAGCATTTCTATGCTATGCCTTCTCATCCCTTTTGCGATCTGGGTAGCCCTGCCAGCCAGCTCCAAACATTGTTCGGACATTCCGTGTCCCCATTCTTACTTTTGCTTTCATCGAGAGAAGAGAGGTGAATTGGCTTCCCGAAGGTTTTCACCAATCGGCGTCATTTCGTCTCTCCGAGTCTGGCGAGGAATAAGTTTATTTTTATTTTTTATATTTTGTTTGTGCTTTGAAGTTTGTCTGGCGATTGGATTGGTTTTCTGGGGTAGAGTTGCTAGTCCTATATTCGACCCTCTGTCTTTATCAGGGCTGAGGACCGGCTGGTTACTAGTGAACGAGTTATTGCACTGTTATTTCTGTTTCTTGGGAAAGTTAGCAATTGTGACTTGTTTAAAAGAATCATAGCTGATTCCCATGAACTAGATAGACAAAATTTGATTAAGTCCAACCTATATCCTTGAATGTTTGTCGATGGTGCTAGCCCATCCGAGTCTACTGCTCTGCCTCTTTCTGGTTACTTACATTTTTCTCGACTATGCGAAAGTTGGTGGTGGTCCTATTTCAATGTTACATTCAGGATGTTTCTGGATAGCAGGTAACGGAATAGTGGCTGTAGGCTAGTGAAGCTGTAATTCGAAGTATTTGAGTTGTATTCTCCATGCGTTAATCACCGATTCTTGTTTCTGCACTGGCCTCACCAACCATGGACCTTTTTCCCTAGTTTCCTTGAAAAGTTTTAATAACTGTATTCTGCAATGTATTTCTGCTTCGTTTTCTATATTTTTAGCCTTTGCTGCCCACAAGTGCTCTTAGTCATTATGCAAACGTGTTGTGGGTGTATTTGTGCTGCTTCTGTTCCTCATCATTCTCATAGTCAACAGGATTGTGGTTATATTTGATGATGCTGTTGAAGTCCACTGAGAATCATTCACGAGTTTTACCGCTGTTTTCACAACAGACTGTAGATGGTGCTAGGCCTTTTCTCGATGAGTAATATTTTCATACTTTGATGACTGTCTAGCTAATTTCTTTTCGAGGACAGCCTTAAAGTTCGCATCACCTAGCAATATCCTGAGCAGTATTCCAGCGTTAGTTTTTCTGCGCTCTTGTAGCCACAAACAGGCGTATTTAGACCAATATACGATCACTGTCAAAGTACTAGAAAGAGTGGTAATCTTCCACCAACCCTATTTGCGTCTACCGTTGAGTTAAGGCTGAGATGCCATGTTAAACAGTCTATTTCTTGGGATTGTTGCTGACTAGACATGGTTGTCTGAGCACAATTTTAGCAGGTGATTGCAGTTGTCCATCTTTTCAGCTAAGGTTTCCAAAGTACGCTCAAGTGTCTTTCTGTGTAACTTAACCTTCCTACTTCTTGTTCGAAGATCCCCATTAAATTTTTTTGAACTCTAGGACTGGATTTGATGCTTTTTACTACCTGCTGTTCAGTCGAACGGCTCACACATAGTAGTAGGATAATTTGAAGAGTGTAAGCGGCCCTTCTGTTTTGAATTTAAGTGTATAGAAGTATCTTTAGCGAGTAACATGAGTGTTCAATGTACAAAACTATTGGTTCTTCATCCATGCATTTTATTCGCATACAGGTCTGGATACATCTGAAACGATTCAAAACAGTGCTTATTCTGGGAACTGTCCTGTTTTTGTTTGTAAAAATGTCTGATCAACAGTTAGGTGAAGAAAAAAATCGTTTTTAACTTAATTTTCAATTTAAGTGCTACTTTTGTTACTATTATGTGATGAGACTTCTATGTCATCTTAAGAAGTTATCCACCTAGTATATCTTTTGGTTCTCATACTGCAGTGCATAAGTACTAGTGATTTAGTTTAATTATGCTATCTAGTTGAAAATTCAGTGCGATTCTCGTTCCTATAATTATTTTTGAGAACTGTTTTCAATTAATATATGTTACTTACATCTCGATTCAATCACTTTTTAATTTGTTAGAGCCGATATCGTAAAGCAATTTTTGCAGCCAATTCCGCTTTAGAAGTCGTTGAAAAAAATGAACTTATTCATCGTTCATCAACCGGAAGTGGATCTGATACCAAGGTTTCCAATCTGGAAGAACAGTATCAAAATTCACTAGAACTTACTCAAGATATGACAACATACGCAAGGTTGTTAGCTGAGGAGGTCCGACGAGGTGCTGCTAATGCTGAATTACTTGAAGATTCATCCAGTAAAATCATGTCTAACTATTCTGAATTAAAAGAAATGGCTGGGCATATGAATCAGTCAAAACGTCTTGCATCTTTGGCTCGTCGTAGGCGTTTTACAGAAAGAGTTCTCTTCTTTTTGGCCTTTTCATTTTTCTTCCTAAGTTGTGGAACAATTTTTTTACATAGGATACCGATGGGATATTGGTTTTTACCATCTGGTTATTAAATTTGTAATGATCATCCTAGCCAGGTTATGTTTTTACTGGCCCATATAGAGTTCTCTATGGCTGTTCTTCACAGTATTCGCAATGTGATATCGATTTGTACATATTATTATTGTTGTTATTTCAGATTTGATTTCATGAACTTGAATTGTGCTTTTTAAAATCAAAATGTGGTATTTTCTGAGTATTTCGTTTAACTTTCAGTTGTTTGAAAGAAATGCATTTTAAGTTGGTATTAGTTGGGGGGTGATATCACTTGGAGAACCATTGATAACCTAGGAGCACTGGACAGCTGTTTTGTCCTGGTGTAGGACGCCTCAGCAGTGGGTACCCATGACCCTGCTAGGGACCAGACCCAAGACTTCCAGGTCCTGTGGCCAGCACGTTATCATCAAGTTATTGAGTTGGAGTTCGATGGTTCACATTTTCCTACTTCTGTTGTTTGAAGATATGGCGCGATCTCCACCCAATGTTGTCGTTGAGTAACCGTTCTCATGTCCAACTTGGTTTGCGCCATGAGTTTGTTTGAACATCATCGTGCACCAGCTTTCTAGACAGGTGTCGTTCTAAACAAACTAAGGTCGAGTAAAGTGAACTGTACTATGATAAAGAGGATTGTTCATGGCTAAAAAATAATAATATCAATTCAAGGACTTGAAAATACTATGTTAACCTTTCTCACATTAAAAACTGTAGTCTAATATTCGGAACGGTTGAGTTTCAGCCATGGTAGTACTTTTTCAAATATCTTTAGGAGTTTGGTTACTGTTTGTAGCCAGCACAATTATGAAATGCAAGAAAAAGGATTTTTGTGATTACTGCATTGAATTAAATGTTTTGGAGTCATTTATTCAGGCTTTCGTAATTGTGGTTTGCATGTATTTTTAGCCAGGAACGTAGTGTATTTTCAGATTTAAAGCCTTTCAAGCGGCTGATTTCCAGTAGTTGAAGTTACTACACCTGAAATGAGTAAAAGGATAGAAAGAATATCTAAAGAATACAAGGAAAAGGTGCGAAAGGATAAAAAAAGACAGTATCAAGCCTAATGAGTATATCTACATGAACAGAGGATGCTTTTAAGACAGCGCATTTGATCTTTTCTTATTTGTTTAGTTTATAAAACTTTACGTGGTGGGACTGGTTGTTAGAAGCTTTGTGTTTTATTGTTAAATCATTTGACCACTGGTGTCCTCGTAGCGTAGTTCGTGTATGGTAGAATCACCATGTGAGCAATGCAGCGGTCGAGTGAAAAGTTTTAGGAGGAACAGGCAAGTCGACTAATGAATTTGTTAACCTTCAGCGACTGAGATGGCTTGGATGTTTGTTGCGCATGCCTGTCCACTGCCTACCTCGATGTACCATGCTAGGGGGGCGTTGGGGATTAGGTTAAAAGAGGGTTTAGGGAGGTCAGACAAAGACTTAACATCAGTGCATGAAGTCTTGGACTGTTGGTCTCAGCTGCGTGACTGGGGTCCCCAAGGTGGTAGGAATCTTGGTGACATGAATCAGAATCGATCACAATGAGAGACGCATTCATTCTTTGACTTTTTCTAAAGTTTGCATTAACCTTTATCTTCCAGCTCAGAGGACAACACCATCAAAATTTTCCTCCCCTATACATCTTTGTCTACTTTGATATTAGTCTCTTTCTAACCACTTTTTCCTTGGATGTTACTGTGAAGTGTGGCAATTTGAACCGAAGCACTTCGGCGCAAGGCTGATTTCTCCTGTCTGTCATATTATTGTAGCCTTTTCTCGTAGAATCCTATGAATGTCATTCACAGTTAGCTAAGTTTTTTAGTGTGCTACTTGACTGAATAAGGCTTCTCACAATGTCTGGAATGTGTTTTTCAAATAGTTTACTGTATGAGTATTCATTTTTACTTTGAGTGACGTAAGTTGTTGATTATTTCTTGCGTCACTGACATGTAGCTCCGTGTATTGCTTAATCTGAAATCTGGTAGGGAATGCATGTTCGTCCAGTTCATTATGAAATTACACCAGGCAATGATAGCAGGCAACAGAATAGTGGCTGGTTGAAGTGTTCCACCATTATTTTTTCAACTGAGAAGGAACCGACTATGTACCGCTTAAGAGCTCCAAAGAAAATCTTCCTTTTAAGAAAATACAAGTGTTGTACACATGTAGGACATCTTTTTTTCGTGTTTATTGTTTAGGAGTTATATGATGTTCGTATTGAAATCATTAGACGTTAAAACCTCCATACGCAAAGTCTACTGGTAGCCTAAGAACTTTTGGTACGCATATTCATTACGGTGACCTTATAGAAATGTCTGTCATATATGATCCAGTACATGCGTCTGAACTCTATTCAAGAAGCTGAACGGTTAGTTTGCTCATTTAAGGTTAAATATATCAAAGCTTTTGATCAGAATAATTCAGCCTTACAACATAGGTAATAAATAGTACCGAAATTCTAACCACTCAAGCTTGTGTTTGTATGATGAAAGATACAGAATCTCACTTCGCTACAAACAATAAAGGAAATGTCTAGAGGAAGGTTGATGCAAATAATTTATTCAGTGGAATATATGCGTTCGCTAATTAACTAGGATTTCAAATGGTAACAAAAAATGCACTTCCGTAAGATAAGCTTACAGAGGGTGAGTATATTGTTCTCTGAGGTGTGGGTGGATTTATTCGTTTCAATGTATACAGGTGGTCAGTGGTTACCTTCTAAGAACGTAGTAAATATTTTTTATGTAATCTATGGGAGAGAGCTATTCAGCTTGTAACTATGGTTAGACTAAACAGTATTGGCTGTATTGAAAACTGAAATATCTCAGGTTTTTGTTTGCAACTTGGTTGACGTTACTCAACAGTTTGGGTGTGGTTGAATGTCACTATTCACAAAATTTGTAATATGTTATCGAGGTATTTGGTTGTATCTGATGACAAAAATTGACGGGTGAAATAATCTTCGTAACATCAAATTAGTTCACAGCTTCTGTTGATTATTGAGGTATCTTTTGTGCAATACCTTCGGATATTTTGAATTGTACTGTAATGACCGGCTGTTCATAGGTTTCGTCTAGCCTTTAGGTAGGTAGGCACGTTGTTACAGGGGGGTGTATAGAGAAGTTTGAGTTTGGTGGTGACCACGAAAATCTGGAGAGGAAGAGAAAAACTTGAGCTGACGACTCAGCAAGTAATAATAGAAGATAACTGACGAACGACAGAGCTTGACAGCGAAGAGGTGAGGCGATCTAGAAATCGAAACTGGAAGGCGAACGAGTAAGATTTCGAGTGCGTTACAGTAATTCCTCTTCCTCATAGCGGTTATTATTCATCACAACAAAACTCCGTCACCTTGTATATATGACTGCTGGGATGCTAATTACCTCAGTCAGTGCAGCTACTCTTTTCACCAGTGCGCTGTCTAACCATTAACCTTATCTCAGTGACTTGGTCTGGATAGGGTAGACTTTTATCATTATTGTAAAGAGATAAGTTCCTACTAATCAGAGCACGTATGGAACACCTTAGTAAATCAGTTAAACATGTTTTTTCTCTGTTCAAATTTATAAAGAAAATAAAGAGATGGGCTGGGAATATTTACTTCTGGAGTAAGTGTGTAGCGTCAAAATGTCATTCATTTCCATAGAAGTATTCTTATAGATTTCGTGCTGAATAATACAATGCAAATTTCGAAGAGAATACTAGTTTCCTTAAGATTTTAAATGTGTGCCAATTGGGTTTCCTTGAAATCTTAGTCCACTATCCACTATTATTTGTATACAAATTACACGCTACTGAATAATTTGTGAGTAGTCAAAATAACTATCAGAATCACATGGTTACATTTAGGAACTCTGTATGCGTGACCCTCTTGATCCAGATAAACATTGACTTATTAAAACAAGTGTGGGCTATCGTAGTGTGGAGAGATACTGATGAGCAATTTCTGGGGGTTTTCATATAATGAATCTCATCTCTTTGTTCTGGTAGTGTATTGTCAAATCTACTGTCAATGCGAACAGTGAGGCTTTTTATATAAACTATGATCAAGATTTGATCGTATAGTATGGCGAATATTGGGCGCTGAGTAAAAGGTTGAAATTATATATAGAATTGTATTTGTGTAAATCACAGTGGGTTTGAAATCAAATAATTCCAACGTTTCGCACGGAAGTCTGGTCCGAGCTTCTTCAGGGATATAATCAAAAAGTATCAAGGATATATAAATAAATTCAAAAAACGTATATCTAATCAAATTTTGAGGGAGTTGTGGAGATTTGGAAATGTATCAAGTTGTTATTCATCATAGACTGACATCAGTTGGAGGAACAAAGGAGACTTGGGAGCACTGGACAGCTGTTTCGCCCTAGTACGGAACTCCTCAGCAGTGCGCACCCACGACCTTCAGGTTCCGCGCCAGCGCGTTACCATTGAGCTACTGGATCAACGAAATAGCTGTCCAGTGCTCCCAGGTTTCCTTTGTTCCTCCAACTGATGTCAGTCTTCGATGAATAAAAACTTGGTGTATTTAATCTCCTCGTCCAATCCTCTTCGTGTAGTCATTGTCTTCCTAAATTATGATAACTAATCATTCAGTGTGAACTTGTATGTCTTTTTTTAGCATGACGTATTTATGTATGTATGTACTCCAGTTCATATTCGTCTGGATTGTAAATATCAGACAAAAAGGGGACATTGGTGACAGTCATTCGGTTACGGTTCTTTATAAGTACAAATTGAAAAGGATGAGACGAATGTGTATACAACTTCAGTTGAAGTAAAGTGGTGAATAGTGTTAGCGAATTCTCTCCGCATTGATTTACCGATATAGAGTGTAAATGACTGGTAGTTATGATAGTGGTGGTGGTGATGATGATGATGATAATAACAATCATAATAAAAATAATAATAATGAATCAGGTCAGTGCATGTTGTGTTGTTATTGATGCAGAAATAATGGAGTTGAGATCAGTGTTTTGAGTCACCCTTTCTGTTTACTAATTAGTAATGGCCAACAGGCAGCTAACTGTACTCCATCTCGTCTGTTCAAACTGTCTGGATTCGCCCATGTAAGCAGGGCCTCGGCTGTCAGTTTTTCTTGGTATGACCCAAAACCTTTTTGTAGAACTTTAGTTCCGTCAAAGTCGATTTTATGTCCCATTTCTATGGAGTGTAACGCGATCGCAGATTTGTTTTCTAGTTTCTTAACCCCTGCTGAGGGTTTTGGAATCTGCTTTAAGCATAGTTTATACTCATTGACTCTCATACTTACCTATCTAGCTGTTTCCCCTACATATACTGCAGTACAATCTCCGCATTTGATCTTATAGACGCAGTTCTTCTGATTTTTTCTTTAGGTACTACACCCTCAGCTTTAATTATGTTAGAACGTAGGGTATTTATTGCACGGAAGTAAACTTTTATGTCGTGTTTGTTGAGAATCCTTCTTATCTCTTCTGAAGTCTGCTTTCGGTATGGGATTATGACCATGCTTGTTTAATTCTTCGGAGGGATTTTTGGGACATCTTTAATTTCATTTTTTATAATACGTCTAACGAAAAATTTGGGATAATTGTTTGCTTCCAGTGTGTGGCAAACTAACTTTAATTCTTCTTTCTTGTCCTCTTTCGTTGTAACAAGACAGTGAGCCCTACTAATCAAATTCCTTGCTTTTAGCGTAGTAGTCAAAGGATGTGCAGACTGATAATCGAGATATCTGTCAGAATGTGTTGCTTTTCTGAATATCTTAATCTTTAGTTTGTTGTAATCCCGTCTTTCCACCATACAGTCCATAAAGTTTAATTTCGACAAACCAGATTCAACTTCCTTGGTGAAAGTAATACTTCCGCACACATTATTTATGTGACTGAAGAGTTCATCCAAACTGTTTCGTTTTGATGATGACAAACGTGTCGTCTACGTACCTTAACCAGATTCTTGGAGGTGTAGAGCAATTTCCAATAGCATTAGTCTCTAAGGAATGCATGAACAAATTAACTACTATTGGTGATACTGGAGATCCCATTGCTATACCATCCGTCTGTCGATACAGATCTCATCTGAACGTGAATACAGTCGATAGTAAGCATAATTCCAGGGACTTCAGAATTTCTCCCTGATCTAATAGACAACGTGAACTTAGGTCAGTATCTGACAGCAGTAGGTTATGAATGATATCTAATGCATCTTTAATAGGCACGTTAGTAAATAAAGAGCAAACATCAAAACTTGCCATTATTTTGTCTTCTTCAATGTAAGATGAAATGATCTTATTCATGAATTCAGACGAATTCTTTATTATATATTTTAATTCCTTTTCGTATGGTTTTAGGACTCGTGAAATATATTTTGCTGAATTGTATGTGCTTGAGTTAGTAAAATCCACAATTGGTCCGAGAGGTGTATGAAGTTTAGACAATCCGTAGAATCTACAAGCGTTGCAACTTTTTGGTGCTAATGAGAACCATAGAGAAGTACCTAACTTGTACTTTATAGATTGTATGAGTCTGCTAGTGTCGGCTTTCAGCTTGTTCAGTGTTACACGTGACTTTGTAGGGTTTATCTTCTGATAGGGACAAGCATTAAGATGTTCTCTTGCCTTCTTCTCGTAATCGGTTGCATTCATTACCACTGTAGTGTTTCCCTTGTGAGGTTTTATTCGTCTTTGCTGTGCATGAAAGTTACTTGGGCACCAGACTATCCAGCAATTTTTTTCATACTAAACTTTATCATGATAACAAACGAGCTTCAGCTGATTTAAAGCTCCACGTCTGATATGCTAATTTTTTACTAAGCCACTTTGAAAATATTGAGTATCTGAAGCTACTATTACAAATAAACTTGTGTATTGGGGAAAAGATTTAAATCTCTCCTGTCTAAATCTTCTATATACTTCTCATAAAGTGGCACAGAAATTGGTGCTTATATGTACGTCTGCAAGCGAGTATCGGGAAATATTCAGCTGTAGTGGAGGATGAATGGGGGTATTTCTTTATTCTGAAGTATACATATGTGGTCATAAGCAGAATAGCTTTTTCAAAGAGGTTTATGTTCACTACCTTCATATGACGCATTATATTTGTAGCGGAAAATAATTCCCCGAAATCAGTAGCCTAGGGTTCGATGAGATTCAGCAATGATGGTGACTTTCATAGTTTTAACAAACTCGCTAAGCAGAAGGCATATGTTCAAGTATCCGCGCCATTTAGCACGTTGTTGTGCTGTGCTGCTTGTAAGCAACCCTTTAGCCAGATAGTCGGAACGCATCGGTGTTTTGGCACGGCTATTAAATATGCTGTTCCATCTGGATACTCTGTTGTGTTTTTTCATGATCTCGTGCTCGTGGGTACATACATAACAAGTACGAATAATTAGTGAATGGCCTTTTATGTCTGCCAAGTTTGCGTAAGATTAATACCCTGAATATTCACACAACGATGAGTTATAGGAAGGTAGTGTTCAGCTCAAAAGTGTACATCAAAACACTAAGGGTTCGTCTTCGGTATTGATAGCTTTCCATGGATGACATAATAGTTATAATTTTGTCTAGGAATTTAAGACAAATGTGTTAATTACGGACGTGTTTTTTGTCGGTTAACTATATTTGTTAAAATTTTGATGTTTCCCAAGCGTATATTGCTTTTCTGTACCAAAATACTCTTCATTTATTTTAATATCAACCTCTTAATTCATATTTACCACTAGAATGTGTTGGCTCTTTAGTATTCGTCATTATCTATTTTGCTTACTTTATCGGTCAAGAACTGGGGAAGGATACATGAATGAGATTCCTGGGGCCTAGTTTTTAACTTGTGTTACAACTAATAAACTTCCATTCGTTGAACATTTTTACCACTATCTAGAACTAACCATAACTGGATAGTAAATACTCCATTTTTGATAATTTGACAATAAGTTTCTTGTATAATCAAGCGATTCATGAGAAAATGAGGGTAATTTCCTCGTGAATATGTGTGAAAATCTAATTCACTTGTGTGGTAAGTTATTTAAGCTCCCATCTATTCTTGTTGACTTATTTCGGTAGTCTAAATTGTATATATTAATTAACGGTGATTTTAGAACCTGGCTCTGAATAGACCTTTTTGATCTCTGACTCTTCAAAGGATGACTAATACTGAAAATTATCATTTGGCTGTCTGAGATAGACGTGGTTTGGCAGATTAGTATTTATGCTGGGTGATGATTGAAGGTGAAAAGAAAATTGGGACCCCAGCCAGATTCTAACCCGCGACAACTGGGTTACCGGCCCGGCGCTCTAACAAGTGAGCCACGAAATAAACCCTTGGTGACTGAAGTAAAAAAACCTGGTCAGCTGTCGGACCTCGTAGATCACTTGGTAGAGCACCGGGCCGGTAACCCGGTGATCATTGGTTCAAAACCGGCTGCGGTCCAAATTTTACTTTCACCTTTAATCATCATGCGGTATAATACTGAAAAGCTGGTTCTTCAACAATATGACTTATCACATTGTTTCATAACAATAAAATATCTTCTGTTTTATTTTGTAACTAATACAGTTACTATGCGTTATTACTGTGATTTTATTTCTATCTCCTTCTGCTTGGTCATTTGTTACCCTGAAGTTGTCCAACCCATTTTAGACAGAAATTTCAATGTTGCAGTTTAATAGTGTTTTCTTATGCCTTGTACGCCACCATTTTAAATCTTCTCCTTATTACTGAACTTCACAGTATATTCATCTTGCACTCAACAGCAGCCATCTACTCGAATGCAACTCACACCAGCTTCATACACCATACCTAGCCTCTGACTCATTCGGGTACAACCAGGCACTGAGGATAGTGCCTCCAAAGAAGAGGAAGTAGTATAACGAGTTTGAAATCTTACTCATTCACCTTCCAATTTCGATTTCTAGACTGCCTCACCTCTTCGTTGTCAAGCTCTACCGTTTGTCAGTTATCTTATTCTCTTTTCGTTTTCAGATTCTGTTGGTCTCCAACAAGCTCGCACTGCTCTACCCGCCCCCTTGCAACAACGTACTTACCTACCTACAGGCTAGACGAAAACCTATCTCTAACTTATCTAGATATTATGACTGAGATATTTCATGGGATTTCTTGAATTTCAAAACCCCGCTTGATTCTGAAGTTTCCTTAGTTAAACTTCTATGTCGGATGAAACCGTTCAATTTGTACAAACCCATGTGATCATTATTATCCTTATCAATGAAGACTGCAGTTGAGCTAATCTCCAAGTGTTAACAAGAAACTGAATAAAGACGATTGGAATACCTTCACAATGAAAACAGGACAAATTATTTTATTGTAAAATATGCACACTTGATTGATCTGTTCTGACATTTGTACATACATAATTGAAAGAAATAAAGTAATTGTGACATCACATTGTAGACTTAAAGTAACGGATATTTATAACATTTGTAGACAACCAATCAGAAGAAAGGAATACCTAATAAAAGTAATAATACTGTGAAGACAGACAGGCAGCAGTAAAACACATGCAAAACACCAATCATGGAAATATATGAGTACTGGACACAGAATTACGATTGGTCTATTAAGATACATAAACGTTACAAAGAAGGTCAGACATTATAACAAATACGTACCGAATACCAGTGACAGAAAGATAAAAATGTCCTAGATAAATTACCGAAAATTTCAGTGATTTCCAGTGTAATTATCCATTTTTTCAAAAATATTGTTTTGAATAACCCATAGGTGTATACAAAAATAGCAAAACAAAACAAAATGTTTTTCACGTTATACTCATTATATAATGAATTGCAAATAAAATAGATTGAATGCAACAAACATAGGTGTAAAAACTTGGTGATATTCCTTAGCCGACTTCTTTGATTTCGTCATTGATCATTTCTACTGTCTATCAATTAGAATGCTGTTTAATACCATGGAAGTAAACAATGATTACTTGTTTATTTGTTGAAGGTATTTAGCTGTATTACTGTACAAAGTAAAGCTTGTTTTTATTGTTTACTCACTGAAAAGATAGAGTAAAGGGGTATGTTTGTGCGTGCGTAAGTTTGTGTGTATCCAGGTTTTTAAAACAATCATTAGTAGTATTATGCCTGATTAACAGATTTTTTCGACTGTGAAGAATAACACTTTGTTATCAATATCCCAATGACAGATCCAATCAATAAGAATAAGAATAAAATAAACAGTACAATAAATAATTTTGTACTCAGAGCGACTTTAGGACTTTCACTTGGTAAATGACCAGACTGATCCAGCATATATCCCAGTGCCCAACTGACTGATTTACCATTAACCTGAAAAATCAAGAAAATACAATAAAACTGAAGTTGTTTCCCCACTTTTAATCAGACAAATAACGGAAACAAAATTTACATTTCGTTCCATTTAGATATTCATACAATAGGGTGATGGTTAAAGGTATTATGAACTGTATTGAAAAATGAAGCATCCAATCAATTAGATATCTGTGATGAAAATAGTCATTTATGAAAAAAATCCTCTTAACAGGGGAACTGGAAGCAATGAGAGTATACACTTCTTATACACACTATAATGTATCTTAAAATAAGATGGAAGACTTTTAGGAACACTCCTTCTTCGTGCATACTAAAGCTTTCACACAGAAAGCTCTTGGAAGTATGAAAAAAGTTTTTTTCTGATGAGCAAAAGAAACTGAGATCAGTTTAATGACATTGTACTCCACTTTACTTTACACTTAACTTAAAACACTCCCGTGTGAAATGTTAAAAAAATCAGTGCTGTTATAGTTTTCACTGATTTTCTGTATTTGCCAATCTATGAATAAATACCGAGTGACCAGATGTTCTATGAAATTCGACCTCACTGCCACTCATTACACTTGGTCATCCATTCTTTGTAGTGATGGTCTTCATTAACTTTGAGGTATTTAAGATCATAACTTAAGTGCACTCGAATAGCTGACAATAAGTAAAAGCAGTCATAATCTTTCTATTGCAACCTTTGTCAAGTATCATAGTTATCGACTGTCTTATAGGTTGTTGTCTTGCCTGGATTGATATGGTCTTTCTTGCACCATGATATTCCGCATGTTATCTCAAGTTCAAACCTGGCTTAAGCTTCAGTATCTGCAAGGGGTGTTTAATGTTTACCTTTAGATGAAAGATATTTTACACAGAAAACTGGATTTAGTGTTATATAACATAAAATGTTATGTTTGATTTTTATTAATATAAAACGAGTTTTACTAAATAACTTTCACTAGGATTTTTTTCTATCTGCAAATAAAGTGGTTTACTAGTCGTATTCCTTCAACCATTATTCATTTTTAAATGTAAGAATGGAGAAGAAAAAATATGAGTGAAGTTTAAGCATACTTCTAGAAGCAACCGGTAATACCTGACTTAATGACATCAGAAGTGTCTGTTGGTAGTATGAGTGATAAGCACCACATTTAGAAGGCGATCCTTTATTCATATCATCCAGGTCTTCGTCGGTGGGTGTTTCAGTAGGCGGTATAAATGGGCACTGATGTTAACGGAGAACATATTAGCGAAGTAATGACTATTGCTTGACTGATAGCTGCTACCTCGATGTGGTGGTAGGGATTACATATCACAATGATCCAACAAACTATGCTGGTACAATACCTGTTTCCTCAACAGCCTGAAAAACGTGAAAGGCCTATTATGTAGTAGTTAGACCGAAAGCAGTCACAATGGTAGTGTAAATGGATCACTATGTTGGGGGTTTAAAAAGAGACACTGTCTCATATGGCGTCTGCCAACTTCAAGCCAACGATAGACATAGATAGTTCACATTCCAATAAATCATCTTTAGAGAGGATCGGTGGAGGATTGACGCTGTTTCTGGGCTACTAGTTTGGACTCTGATTATGCATTATTAAATGCTCGTGTATGTCTGCGCCTTACTGATCTCAGGAAACAGACGACAGTAAAACCCGTTTGTGCTTGGTTGAAAGTTGAGAACTTTTAGTATATATTTTGGCAGGAGATTAGTAAGCGTTTATCTAAACGTGACAACAGTGTTGATCCCGAGAAAACCCTTTGTGGGATTTTAAGTCTGTTGTAGAAACAGCGGTAACAGTTGCTAACCTACACCCTGAAGGTTAGCAGACGTCATTTAATTTCCTCGAAGTCCTCCGAAATGACTTATATGAAAAGACTCATTCAATGAGATTCTGACCACAATGAAGAACGAAGGCAACCCAAATGTGAATAAGCCAAGAATCTTCGCAGTGATCATGAGCAGTGGTGAGTGGCGAAGACGGGAGAGATATAGAAGGCACCAGAGTTGGGTAACTAATAAGCCCTACTAAAAATATCGGCAAGAAGATGGTGAGTGAAGCTGTTACCTAGAAGGATGAGACGCTGATTACGTTTCAGGACAGACGGCTAGAATGTTGGATGGAACACTTTGAAGCATAGCTCAACTGACCCACAGCCATGCTTCAGCTTCCCAGTATCCAGCCCAAACTTAAACGGGACGGAGATGTTAGTCCTCAAACTCTCCTCGAAGTTGAGAAGGCTGTTTGAAACCTGTGGCAATGCCAAGCAGCAAAATCCAATGAATTCTCTTCAGAGATTTTACGGATGGGGGTAGAAAAGTGGTGATTAGAACGACTGAGATACCAGGTATTTTATGAGTATCACAGGTGGTGCCATCAGATTGGTTTAGACTAATCATCCCAGTCCACAAGAAGAGAGAGGTTTTGTGACAACCATGAGGGAGTCAATTTGACTAATATTCTTTCCAACATCTTTGGCTCCCTAGTAATCCGACACCTAACTGGTGCTTGAGAACAGAAAACTAGAGAAAATCGTGAAGATTTCGGACCAGGACGAGAATACATAGATCGGATTTACACCCACCGATAGGTCTTGGAACACAGGTATACCTACCGGCCAGTGGCAGACACTTGCTATATTTCTTGACCTAAAGGCGACATTTGACTGTGTTGACTATGTAGTGTTGTGGCAGTGTCGGACTGTGAAAGGAATACCGAACGAGTATATGATGCTTATAATAGCTGTCTACACGAATTCATATATCATGTTTTATGAAGAGTTGTCATCTGAATTAATGACAACTAGTGGTGTCCACCGGAAATAACCACTTTCACTGTTCGTATTTAACTTCATTATAGACGTACTGATGGACATAACCCTGGGTACATCTTACAAACGTTCATGTACTGTCTGGAGGCCACTTGGTGGACTTGGGGAATGCAGACGATATTGTCCTGCTAGGTGAAGACGCTGACAAAGTGTAGGGTCTTTCAAATTCGTTGAGTAGAAAACTGAGTATGTTGTGCATGCGTTTCGTCCCTGCCAAATGCAAGATGATGCTCCAGGACTAGTCTGCAACCACACAGTTTGTGGAGAAAATTGCTACGAGAACACGTCATCACACTAACTGCACATGAGACTAGAGCAGTTAAGTCATCTATTAAGTAATTAATTAATGATCAGAAGTGTTATAATACTACTCGATACTTTCACATGCAAGATTAGTTAGAGACAGAGGTTGACAAACATTTACAACTGTTCAGATGTTTGATGATGTGTATTGTAGTTTATCGTCATCGATTGATACGAAGTGATCCGCCACTATCGGCATATAGGCTGCTGGATGGGTGCCTGAGTACTCATGGTAATTTAGGTTACTTAGTAATGATGGATGATGATTGGTAGTAGAAACCAGGATGTGCCTTTCGTTCTATTTGATGTCCCTTGACTGGGTTTACTTGCCTGTCAGTGAGTGACATTGTTGTCACTGAGACACACCCATCACTTTGAGTGCCAGAGTATTACTCAGTAGACCGCTGAGTCATGAAGGATACTTACTTCCCTTTGTTATTTATGCTAGCCTTTTTGTTTTATAAAAGCACAACTGCGGTATGAACCAGTGAGTAATGTTCAAAATATGGTTTTACTTCTAAATGAACAAAAACTGAGATGATCGTTCTTGTCGTTTTATTTATCTAACTCAGGCAACTTAGCATGTCAACGGTATTGGTAAAAAAGATCTCTGAATTACAGTTCTTATTCCATGATTAATCTACCGAGTCAGAAAAATTTGATTCAAACCAGAATATGCCATAATCTCATCCAATTAGTTCAAGGTAACCTAAGAAAAGCCAAAAGAATAAGTAAACGAAGTATATTCCACAGGGTAACAAGTAACACTTAAGATAAACCATACTTTTCAGATTTTACTGATGAATCCGCATGCATCAGTCAGATGATTAAAAGCTTTCTCAGTGAGTGTAATATACCGCTTAATACTTCAGTTTACAGGACTATTATTTTACTGAGATGTAAAAATTGTTAATGATGCTTTTCACCAGAGATTAACAGCATGCATCTGGACTAAAGTACAACAAAAGTTGGTAAAGAAAATGAAACCGAAGTCAATTACCTTTGAATCGAATGTTATAGATTTCCATAATTCATCAGTTGTAAAACCATACTTTTGTAACAGATTTACAATATATAGTCCATCAAAACAATATTTACCAGTAAGTTCATGCTCAGATACTTTCGTAATTCTAGCGACCTATATAAAATGAAGAAAAAACTATCTGTTATAGAATAAAGAGTAAATACATATGATAGTATTACTAATACAGATCAACCTGATGCATGCTTAAGTACTAGAATACCGGCTACATATATTGTGAGGGCTCATGATACTATTTAGAGCAAAGTAAGTGGAGTGGAGTTCTATCCTTAGACCTATCGTTTGACAATTGAATGTTTAGGCCAGTGAGTTTAATCTTCATACATAATCTTGACTGGCCGACGTTGGGATAATATATGACTTGCTAAGAAAGTGCATCAGCTCGAGTCCTCCTACTTCATAACAATGAGACAATTTAAGTTGAACAACAATAGTCATAAGTCAACGCAGACTACAGTAAGGCCATAATAGAATGCATAATAATAATGATGTTGCTATTTAAAGCTAGAGGAAAGTAGAATATCCGTTTTCAATCTTCTCGACTAAAGTATATTACTATTTACTTCCACTTACTTCAAGGTGTATTTCCTACCATGACTTAAGTACAAGATGTTAGGCATCAGCTTCATTTAATTATCTGGTCACCCTGAAATTTTTTTCATCTTTCGGTTAATATAGGCACTATCTCGTATTTGACTGACAAAATCAACGCAGAACCGCGAACATAGGTATTATTATTATTATTATTAGTCCCTTGGGTTCCTAGTGGAACATAGGGCTTCAGTAGCACGCCTCCAGTGACCTCTGTTCTCTGAGATCTTTTGAACCTGGTTCCACGACAGCCCAGAAGCTCTCATTTCCTCCTCGCACGACCTCCTCCATGTCACCCTCGGACGTCCAACTCGTCGCTTCCCATGGGGATTCCACTCGAGGGCCTGACGCGTGATGTCCTCAGTCGGCCTTCTCAGTGTATGCCCAATCCATCTCCACTTCTTCCTGCATATTTGTTGCGTGATAGGTTCTTGGTTGGTTCGTTCCCAGAGTTCCTTGTTGCTTATTTTTTCTGGCCATCTGATCTTCAGCAGCGAGCGTAAGCAGTTGTTGATGAATGTCTGTAGTTTATTGGAAATGCCTTTCGTGACGCGCCAAGTCTCTGAGCCATACAAGAGCACTGACTTGACGTTGGTGTTGAAAATCCGTATCTTGTTCCGCATGCTGAGTGCAGAAGATCTCCACACTGGTTTCAGGCTAATGAATGCCTGTCTTGCTTTTCCGATTCTGACTTTGACGTCCTCGTCCGTCCCGCCTGTAGTTGAAACAGTGCTTCCTAGATAAGTGAAGGAGGTTACTTCCTTCAAGTTTCTACCGTTGACGGTGATTGGAGTTTGTTGTTGTTGTTGATGGTGGTGGTGCGGTATCTTCATCACTTCTGTCTTCTCTATATTCACCTGAAGTCCCGTCTTAGCTGCCTCCTCTGTCAACTTGTTAGTTTTTGCCTGCAGATCTTCAAGTTTATGTGACATTAGGCATAAGTCATCGGCGAAATCCAAGTCTTCTAGGTTCTTTTCCGTCGTCCAGTGTATCCCCCTCTTCTCGCTGCCTACTGTTTGCTGCATGATCCAGTCCACCACAATTAGGAATATCATGGGGGATAGTAGGCAACCTTGTTTCACTCCTGTCTTCACTTCAAAGGCATCACTGAGCTTCCCATTGTGGATTACTTGGCATGTGGCATCTTCATATAGTTGTTGAATGAGGCGGATAAAGGTTTGCGGTACTCCGTAGTATTGAAGCAGTTTCCAAATTACTTCTCGGTCGACGCTGTCAAAGGCCTTCTCAAAGTCGATGAAGTTGAGGTATAGAGCTGATTGCCATTCTACGCTCTGTTCTATGATGATACGAAGCGTTGCAATTTGGTCAGCACATGATTTGTACTTCCTGAAGCCTGCCTGTTCCGGTCGCAGTTTTGAATCCAGTGCGTCTTTAAGCCTCTCCAGGATGATGCGGCTTAATATTTTACTTGGGGTGGATAGGAGAGTGATTCCTCGCCAGTTCTTGCAAGCACTGAGGTCTCCCTTCTTCGGCAGTTTGACAAGGTAACCCTTCTTCCAATCGTCAGGTACCTTCTCTTCCCTCCACACCTTCTGCAATAGTGGTGTGAGCATGTCCGCTGTTGTCTCTGCATCTGTTCTCAGTGCTTCTGGCGGTATTCCATCTGGTCCTGCTGCTTTCCCGCATTTCAGTAGCTTTATGGCGTTCAGGACTTCCATTTTCGTTGGGGGATTTATGTTCACTTGTAATTCAGCGGCTGCAGGTGGTATTTCTGGACGAAGTGCAGGTGGTGGTCGATTCAAGAGCTTCTTGAAGTGGTCGGCCCATCGTTTCCTCTGTTTCTCTTCTTTTGTAATTAAATTTCCTTCTTCATCTTTTATTGGTTTCATCTGTGTTGGTCTCTTCCCTGATAGCAACCTGGTTATTTGATACAATGTCGTCAGGTCTCTCTTACCTGCAGCCTGTTCTGCTTCACTTGCCAGTGTGTCGTAGAAGTGTCGTTTGTCTTTGCGTGCACTCTTCTTCACTTCTTTATCCAGTGTTTTATACATTGTGCTCAGTTCCTCTTGTCGTTGAGCATCCTTGCACTGGTTTATCTTCTGCTTCACCATCCTCCTCTCCTCTATCAGCTTCCAGGTATCCGTCGAGATCCATTCCTTGTCTTCTTTCTTCTTCCTTCCTAATACTGTTGTGCAGGTTTCTTTCCACATAGCTTTCAAAGACTTCCAGTGTTCTTCTACACAGGTTTCTTCAGGGATGTCCCTCGACGTCTCCCATTTTGTCTTGATGGCTGCTTTGAAGATCTCCTTTGTAGTTTCATCCTTCAGTTTCCGAGTGTTGTACTTGAATTGAGGTCTATCACCAGCTTCCTTGAAGGCTTTTAACTTGATTTCGAAGGTTCCTTGCACTAGATAGTGGTCTGAACCTACATCTGCTCCTCTTCTTGACCTTGTGTTAAGTAGACTGCGTCTCCATTTTCTTGAGATTGAGATAAAGTCGATTTGGTTTTTAGTGTGTCCATCTGGTGAAATCCATGTCGCTTTGTGGATATCCTTGTGCCTGAACACACTGCCTCCAATCACCAAATCGTTGAATGCACAGAATTCTGCAAACAATTCTCCATTCTCATTCATTTCACCTAGCGCCTCTCGACCCATGGTTAGTTCTCTTCCCGTGTTGTCCCCTCCCAGTTTGGCATTCATGTCGCCCATTAGAATTTTGATATCGCCAACTGACGTCTTGTCCAGTGTTGACTGAAGTTGTCTGTAGAATTCCTCCTTTTTCTCTTGCTCTGCATTATTTGTAGGTGCATAACATTGTATGATTGTGACCTTTCTTCCTTTTGAGTTGAATCTTGCTGACATGATCCTGGAGGAGATTGGTTCCCACTGCATGAGAGCCTTCGATGCTCTTGAGGACATCATGATAGCCACTCCCTCAGTGTGCTCGTGGTTGGCGTCTGGGTGACCGGAGTAGATTATTGATTCTCCCGTTGACAGTTTGGAGAGTCCACTCCCATTCCATCTGCTTTCGCAAATCCCAAGCACTTCGATGTTATACCTTCTCATCTCCTTTGCAATCTGGGCTGCCTTACTGGGTTCAAACATCGTGCGGACATTCCATGTCCCCACGTTTACTTTCGCTTTCATCGAGAGAAGACACATCGGCCAATTGGCTTCCCGAAGGCTTTCACCAACTGGCGTCATTTCGCCTCTCCGATTCCAGCGGGGAATAAGTTTGTTTTCATTTTTTATATTTTGTTTGTGCTTTGAAGTTTCTTTAGCGGTTAGATTTGTTTTACGGGGTAGGGTTGCTAGCCCTATGCCCAACCTTCCCTCTTTACCCGGGCTTAGGACCGGCTAGTAACTAGTAAACTAGTTAACCAGGCGAGGTTGCGAACATAGGTGCAACGGTTCAAATTGCCACAATTCACAGTAGTACACAAGGAATAGGTAAATAAAAAAGACTGATATCAAAGTAGATAACGTAATGTGAGAGAATCAACAATCTGAAGGTAAATGGTTGGTGCGAATATTCAAGATTTCGATATCAGGGAATGAATAAATCTGCACCATTGTCCCCTACTATCATCCATGTCACCAAGATTCTTCAACCACTGATTCCTTTTATCTACAGGACCCCAACCAGGCAGTTTACATGTCGCCACACGGCTAAGACCTGCGGTAAGAGACTTCATCGACTAGTGCCAGGTCTTCATTTGGCCATCCTGAACTTTCTTCTAACCTAATCAAACTTCTTTTAGCATAGCACGTCGAGGTAGGCGGTGGGTTGGCATGCACAGTACACGTCAAAGCCATCTCAGTCGGCTAAGGTCCAGAACTTCACAAATTGACTTGCCTGTCTCATCTGGTACTCTTCGCCTGACCTCCAAATTGCTCACATGGTGATTCAACCAAACGCGAACAATGCTACGAAGACATCTGTAATCAAAATCCTGTGATCGCTTCATGTCTTCCGTCTTCCGTCACGTCTCGCAGCAACAACAGCAACAACAGGACAGAAAGGTCTGCAGCGAAGAATAATTGTCCTTTGATAGATAGTCGCATAACTCGCGAACTGGCCCCACAGATCGTGCTAGTTGGCTAATGCCAAAAGGATATTCCGGTTCCAAACTAGGATGTCGTTAGCGATCAGTCCGTTCTGGCTGATGCAGCTCTCAAGGTAAGTGAAGTAGTCTTTTTGATGGTGTTGTGTTCTCTGAGCTGGACTGTCTAGTCATGGAGCTTTCGTCGTCATTCTAGACAGCGTCATCAGCAGAGACTTCGAGACAAAGTGAGCGGTAATATTTCCTCCACAATTTATTTAGCAGACGGTTCTGATAACCTTGTGTGTAACTGGTTGTTTCTGCCAGGGTCTTATCATTGTCTCCATGTTTATTTTGGTTGGTTGTCCTATTGACCTGAAGTGTGACCTTTACGTTGTTTCTTGGGTCAGTGTCAATATGTCTGTTGATTGGTGACTGACTTGAATGCCAAACTTCTTAAAAATTCTCAGGTATTCTTTGCATTTCTTCTATCCACAGT